TATATATATATATATATATATATATATATATATATATATATATATATATATATAAATGGACCAGGAGCGTACCCGTGTTCACCATATGTGCTTACTGCTTAGCATATAGCGACGCCTTTACACTGTGATCACGTTTACAAAGAAAATAGTCTTAAAGCTAGAAGATAGACGTAAAGGTATATCTTAGGGCGGCGAGAGTACGACGAACATGATAATTCGAGTGTAAGACAGGCGTTTAGACAACAACCAACCACCTATCCACCCACCCATCCACCCACCTCCTACCCCTTTAATTGTCCCTTCCCCTTTTATTTATACACATACGGATAAAGATATATTTAAATCGATAAGAATGGAAAAAATATTGTTGATGTTACTACGGTGTAATGGGTACAATCTAAATACATGAATATTATGTATATAAGGAATAGAACACGGACAATTTTTATCGTACACGTTTATACTTCTTTACTTTTATGTCTATTCTACTTTTTGCTCACTAGCCACTCTCGTCGATCGATTCCCGATTTCTTTATATAAGAACGCCAAAGTCGGCGTAATTACTACGCGAATTTTACAATCTCTGTTATTTCGTTTTCGACGCTTGTTCATCATTGAAAAATTCGATTACAAAGCTATCGTTCACATACGAGCTGTTTTAAGAAAGATTGGCGGGAAATATTTTTGCTCAATAGAGCAGGAAACACTTCGTGTGTTGTATATGCACGATTTTCAAAATTTCCGAGTTCTAACGATTTCCGGGAGAATGCAAGTAAATAAGACATTCGCCGATATGAGTATAATATCGAAGTCTTATTTTATTATTCGCGTACCATGTGTATATGAATACAGAAGCGTTTTATATTACAATATTCGTCGTGTTAAAGCTACCAAGGGAAAAAAAGGGAGAAATAAATAGAATTTCCTGGACACGCGTCGCTCGTCGCTCGAGACGCGCTCGAGCTCTGGGACACGGCAGAGAAATGTCTCCTTGCGAGTTTGCTTTTCTCCCGCGAGTCACGACGAGTCATCATTAATTCGTCAAAGAGCGAAAATCCTAGATTCCATTTGAATGCAACGCAACAGCGAACAAACTCAATTTGTTCGCTGTGCGTCGTATTGTCGCGGTCTTACGCGCTAAAGTAAATCGGGCTCTATTAAGCGTCTTCTACAATGGCAGTAGGAGTAGTAGTAAGAAATAAGCAGTAAGTAAATAGACCAATCACAATCGGTTATTTTTGAAACGTGAGAATGGAATTGGTCAATTTGCTTACTGCTTATTTCTTACTACTACTCCTACTGCCATTGTAGAAGACGCTTTACACCAACGATTCGCCGGATAACTGATTCCAGTAAACTTCCCTAATTAGTTTTGCTGGATATAGTTACCCAAGTATTATAGCACCATCGATAATAATCGACATCTTATTAATTACAAGAGGAAATCAGAGATGATTTCACGGCTATGAAAGAAAAATCGAATTATATAAATTATAAATATTGTAATAGATAAAAAATTAAATTCCGCATGCGCGCGCGCGAAAAAATCTAATCCTATGCAATCCGAATTATTTGTAACTTCTTCTCAACCGATCCGTGTGGAAATTTACTACGCGACATTATCGTGTGGAAATTTTTCAGTTGTATATGTTGTGTGTGTGTGCGCGTGTGTGTGTATATGCACGGTTAGCACTGAGCAACGTTGGTGCATCTGATCCTAAGTGCAAGCACTTGATTACCCGCGGTTGTCGCAACAAACTACACTACTGTACGTTTAACAATATCGAATTACAAAATAGAAAACGTCCACTATGTCTCGCAGTTCGGCTTTCCAACGCGCTGAATAGAGATTTATTCCATGAAGTTGTGTGTTACCGAGTTCAAAAACCATCGACATACGAATATCTGGACGGAATATTCTACAGGGAGAAAGTCTAATTAGTGATAAAGAGAAAGTTATGGCACTTTGGATAATTCGTAATAATTCGCGCCTTCTTCAAATATATTCAGCTTTAGCTTAGCTCGCGCTGCAACTTCGACGTTTGCAACGTTGAAGTTTTTTAAAAGATTTGTCACGTCAATATATTGTACAATATACTACACAAAGAAAGCAAGTACGTGTAAACCAAATGATTACGAGCAGAGTCAGTGACCTTAAGTGTTGCAACTTTTTCCTCGCCGAAAATTAGTGGAACCCTTTAATTGACAGTATATTTTCCATCCAGATATTGACATGTCGGTGTCAAAAGCCGTTCGCTTATTACAACGGAAGAATCGAAATAAATGTTTACAAATCTTGTCGTATGAGAACGAATCGAAAATCACGTTGAGCACGTGAGATACAAAACTCCCGATTGTTCACACTGAGAATTCAAAAGGAACTCTCGCGGAACACGTCGTTGTCGACCGAATTGAACGCAACGCGCTAATTCTAATTGCGCTACGAAAAAAACACGGTGGCCCCAGGCCGACACGCGAGTCCAGAGGGAATCTCCTGAAGAGCCGAAGGGATCGTTGCGCGGTCAATCGGCGCCGTTCGTCTTGTGAGTGAGAATGGTCTCGATGTTACGCTGAATCCGCGCGATCTGCGATCGTTTACTCCTCGGCGTGCCCCCCTCCTCGATGTACAAGTTGCCGCCCGCCTCCACTGGCCAGCTAGCCGCCGCCGCCGCCACCACCGGAGTCTCTCGTTTCCGGTCTGCAAGCAGAGCAAACGAATCCTCAGCGGCCCCGGTCGAGCGAGCGAAGGGAGAGGCTCTCCGTTTCAAAACGGAGTATCGTGAACGATTATTACGTTACACGAACAAGCCGACGTATATAGCGCTTCGACATCGTTGTCACGTCAAGTTGTCCCATTTTACGACGCGAGCGGGAAACCCGCATGAAATTCGCGCGTCAATTATATCGAGGAACAATAGAGCGAATACAATAAGATATATCCACTGATAAAAAACTTGAAAATTTACTTGTGGAAATATGAAGTTTATTTACAGAAATAAACTTCATATTTCATAAATAAATTTTAATAAAGATAATAAAGTATCTCTCTCTTTTTCTCAGTGTGATATAACTGGGTAAGATGAAAAAGTTCTACAGGAGCGCATAGAATGACAATCCGTGCGACGGCAATATCTTTTCTTTAAGAATGTATCGTGAAATTAACCGGGATATAAACGGAGATAGATTTGGTTGCAAAATTTTATGGTAATTTTTAAGCAAAATTCTCTCTTCGCATATTCTCTTCGAGTGAAATTTCATTCCAAGAAATTTAGTGCCGAAGGAAATTGGGGCACGATTGAATTCTCGCTATTAGTTCCTCATCGTCGGCATTTGACGTCGACGAAGTCAGTTCAAGTTTCGGGAATGTGCTAACAATAATATAAATCACGAGATACTCATTGAATCGTATTTGCCGGAGACTCCTTCGCGATATCCTAACACAACATAATTTCTCTGTAAAACTGGACGGACATCGATACGCCGCGCGTATTTCGGGAGCACCGTGTACATTACGTTGCGCTTCCGGTAGCGGCGGTCCACATATAAATACAACTTCCGAGGCGTGGGAGCGTAATGAAATATTCCGGCGGGGAAGGATCCCCGCGCGCGCTCAGCGCGTCTCGCTTTCCGCTCCGGCACGAGAAGCGCGGCGTATGTATTGACGCGCGCCGCGCCGACGCTGCTAAAATTGGCGACGGATTGATTTTCGAGCTCACGGGTTCTCGCGCTTTGCGTCAAACTCGAAACTGCAAGTTTCGCACGAGCAGCAACGGACTCGCGGCTCCGGCCGCTCGCTCCATACGGAGAGATCTTGACGAATCGTAAATCAGTTTTTACCAACGATTGACAAATGCGCGAAAGATGCAGTAAAAGCGGACAAAAGACTTGTAACAAAGACTTGCACACGCAGAGAGAAATATCATGATTTGTCTCGGTACAAACTCTTCAATTTTATGTCATGCTTTTTCTAATGGTGTAAAAATACCAAGGAATCAGAAGAGTTTACTTTGCTGAGGAACATAGTCAACTTAGCAGTAGATTAATAAAGAAAATGTAAAATTTTAATTTTTTTATCGAATAGTAAGATTTTTTATAGCAAGTTAATAATAAATTTTTTAATAGCTTAGTTTCTAAGATATAAACAGCATATATGAAAGATACTAAATCAAGAATCAATATGTTCTTCAGTTAAAGAATTCTGCAAAAAATTTTGCCATGAAATTTTCATCGTGTATAACGCGATGGATCTAATTCTCTTGAGATTTTGTCGAATTATGTCAACCTCTGTTCAGGAGAAACGTTGTCGATTACTGCGAGTTACTGTGACCGGCAGCAACCCTTCCGACGAATTGTAGCTAGTTAAACAGACCCCAGAAGACTCGGCAGAAGTAACAAATTGCTTGGATGGATAGATAGATAGATAGGTAGATAGATAGGCACAGTGGTTGCAAAATTGAAAGCCAGGTCGACTGCGTACATGCAGAAAAAGAATGAGTAGAAAAAGCTAAGACATTGTCGTCGTAGATAAAAAGTTTTTAGTCGCGATTTAGATTTTTAGATAGATATAGCTAACGTCACTGCTAAGTTATAAATTTGTTGCAACTTAAGTGCTACAACGATAAATAGTCTTTCAGGGATGTCTATCATCTTCTTAGCTACAACTCGTATCAATGTGAAATTTTGATTTCAGCTAATAAATTTTTCTGTCGATATATAAATCGTATTGAAATGCATTTTGTTCTGTAATGTAGCTCTTAGTAATGACAGTAAAATGAACTCAGCCTTTCAGCTCAGTTCATATTTGCTATTGCGATTTTTCGCTGACACTATTAAGTTATTCCTTTTTCGCGTGAGTCGAGGGCTCGAAAACGTATACGCAGGAACGCGTCCGCTTAATCGCTTTCCGACGGAATAGCAAACAATTTCGCTGAAAACACTTCGGGATCAGTCTGTCCCTACAGCCGGCTGAACCGTATACATATCCATAAATCCGCCACTGACGCGGCGCGTACGCGTGCTAAAGTTAGAGCGCGGCGAGGCGCGGGCGCGGCGTGCGGCGCGCCGCGCCGGGCCGCGCGAATGAATGAAGGTAGATAAACGTCCGTACAATCGCGTCATTTTGTTTTCGCGGACGATAAATAATTCGCGGGAGTGCAACGGGTTGGGCGAGCAGGCAGGCGGGCGAGCGAGCGAACGAGTCTCGTCTGTTTTAAGGCCCGTCTACTACAAACAGCTACTACTTCCTAAAATACACCGGCGGGAACGTGGTGCCGTACCGAATCGAAAATCCGCGCTCTGACGTAACGCACGTGCGCGTACGTTTCTCCGTGGCTTCCGATTCGCGAATTGCTGCTATTCGCTAGTCGTGACTACAAGAAAAATTGCGAGACTCTCTCAGAGACGATACGGAATCCCGATGTCACTCCTCTCTGCGAAATTGCATATCTGCGAAAGTTGCCGAATCACAGCAAGAATTAGAGTGATTTCGATTCGATCGATTTGTGAGACTAACAGAAAATTCATGGTCGTTAACGAACGTAATAGATGCGCGACAACTACGTATTTATTTCATATTTATTTATCTATTTATGGAAATCACCCCTTGAGTACAATGCATACTATGAAATTAATAATTAAAGAAAATTAAAGATACATTTTTAGGAAGTATAAGGGACAAACAAAAAAAAAGATATAATTCAAGAAAAACGCAATTAAAATGATCACTTTTGATCAATTAAAATGTTGAACAGTTTTAAAAGCAGATATTGACATATAATAAAGTTCAATTATGTTACTAAAATTATTCATATAGATATATAAGTTATTAAATGATATGAAAAGATGAATAATTTCTATTTAAAATAATAATATACATAATATTTCCTCTCTGAACGGATACGTCTTCAACGAATCGCCAATGAGGCTCTTCACCCGGCAAGTAACATGTGTTCCTGATCAGCGTTAAATAAATCCCGGAACCCGTTAGTAGCGAGAATAATGAAAAATGTAAGATGCAAGCTCAAACGAGCTCGAATTAAAGAGTAAAAGACGCGATGCGATTCCAGAGACGATAATGGAAAAGATTAGAAAGAGATCCGTGTCGATGGTCGGTATAAATTACCAAGTATCGCGTGCGGACGCGCTCTTTCCCCATCATACACGGGACTCCCTTGTATGGCAAAAATGCGGAACGTGATATTATGTGTAATGCAAATAGCGCCATAGCGGAAATAAACGTACGGGGAACGACGCGTTGAATGAAAGTTCGATAACGAGTAGCGTAATGTATGTGTGTCAATGGGGTCCGGCGTGTGGACGCGCGCTTTTCGCGCTCTTTGTGTGTGTACCCTCCATATAAATCCGACATACCATCAAGCTTCGCCCATACCTAAAAGCTAAGAGAGCGTCACTTCGCATATATATTCGAAACTCGCCTGTATACATTGAGAAAAAATATATTAAAAAAATAATACACATTTATTCGGTGTACTATAATATAATATATTACTATATATAATATACATACTAACATAAAATATTGTTTATATAAGAAAATAGAAATTTTCCTGAAAACGCTTAAAAAAATCTGAGTTTTTTCATGAAAGCAGTTGTTTATTTTATTTAAATGAAAGAATTTGGATTTAAGTAAATATATTATTAGCTGTAAATGCTAATAATATTGGTACCAAATAAATATTTATTATTTTTTAGATTTTTCTCTCAGTATATTAAATCTATTCTTTATATCTGTAATTGTATCTTATATTTTCTAAATTTCTTGGAGTGAAATTTCACTCGGAAAATAAAGTGGCAGTGAAGTCATTCGATCTTGAGTGATTTTTCCACACGTATAAACTGAACTCTGAATCGTCGAGCGATTCACTCGATATCGAAGAATAAATTTGATATATTCCATTGTTGCGCAAGGACGAAGTTATTCTAATATATTGAAACATTCAATTAAAACTTTAAACTTTAATAAAATACTTTAAATTTCAATAAAACATTTAGTCAGAGTGGCAGTATTTTTACTATCCCTTTGAATGAATTTTCACTTATTCTGAATAAAATTTTATTTTAAAGAATTTGGAGAGAGTAATTTCTTGAGAGTATTTTTCTCTTTTCTTCCACCAAATATATATCCACGTTATTTTACACAGTACGAGTTAGTGCAGCTATCAAGAACAAACCTATTTATATCCCGACTGATCGCGCACGATCCTTTAGTCCCGATTTAATCGTGATTTAATTTGACTCTAATTCCACATCGTGGCGATTCGAAGTTCGTTGAATGAATCTTTGCTTCGCGGTCGACACTATCACGTGGCATGCCAAAAAAATTACTTCCGGCCGGTCGAACGGTACTTCACGTTCAGCCTGTGCACACACACGAAGGCTCATTCAAGCGCGATATAAGAAAGAAAAAGAGATATTGAGTCGAGGGAATTTATATTATATATTTGTTCGTGATCTTCCCCGCACATCCGTGTACCCCCTATCGTTCGTCCGCCCCTCTTGCTTTCGGCGCACAAAGTGATCATTGCGAACATGCACGCAACTACATCTTACTCTGGTCGAGCACAATGAAAGTGGGACTGTTAAAAGCGACGCGTAGTACGTAACGACCGAATCCTACGCCTCAATTCCAGCGCGTTGTCCGTGTCGTAAGAAACTGCAATTGATATGTCTACCAATACTGACACAATATATTGTGTCATCTTTGAAAGCGAACGACTCGTTCTAAAAACAGATAAATTATTTAAAGTATATGTAAGATTATATAATATTTTTTTTAGAAATATTTTTTAATTATTATATCAAAATATTTTAATTATATAGTATAAACATTACACGGATAAAATATTATTTTGTTCTTTTTATATGAAATTATTTAACTTTTCTATGTTTTCTAAGAAAAAACAATTAACAGAGTTTACTTAACTAAGAAACATAATAAAATTTTTTATAGTAAATTTCAAGTTCCTAAAATATAAATAATACAGATGAAACAGAAAAATAATGAACTAAATCCAGAACATCGATATATTCTTCGGTTACAAAATTTGATAGTAATTTTAACTCGAAAATTCTTTTCATGTGTTTATAGAATTCAAATATTTTAATCGATACAACAATACAATACGATAGGTATATTGTGCAAATATAAATATTAAAAAAAAATATTTGTATTATAATTAAAATATTTCAGTTTTTAAAAGCAAACACGAAAAGCAACCGAGGATCGATAGTTTTTATCGTCGAACACTCTCGAGCGTTCGACCTTTACCTAGACATACATCAGACGCTTCAAAAGAGCGATGGCCAACGCTCACAGGTGGTAACGTCAAGTGGCCGTCGCGAGAATTTATAGCCGTGTGAATGGGGCGTCTTAAAATTCTGACCGTGCTTACCTAAAAGCTTCTCGAGATACTGACATCTGGTCTCAGGATCACCTGGATTCATCGGCGCCCCTGCGACCAGCTCGGCTAACTCCGCCTTTACCATCAGGTTCAACCTGGCCGAGATCTCCTCTAGACCCGCTGAAAACAACAATTCCGTCAGTCAGAGGCAACAAAAAGAAACGCGTCGTAAATTTTTAGAACAGTTTGTTTGGAAAAATCTGATAAAACCTTTCCTGAGAGAAAAACTTGCATAAACAATTATAATCTGATACGCGGATATTTTTGATAATCGAGTTTTTACGTCGATCTTTTTCGTTATATTTATCAGATGCGAACTTGTCCATAATTCGTCGAGTCCCGGTTTTTATTTTGGAAATTTAGTATTATTTTAATAGAGATATATATCATAGATAGGTGTAAGTAGCGTTTCAAAAAGTATGATTTGAAAAATTGTTTCAGCAGGAAAGAATTAAATAATTTTATTATGGGAAATAAAATTACAATTTTTTCTTCATGATAAATAGACGGTCACACTTGATAGTTGAAAGAGCGCTCTAAGCAATGCAGACAGATCAATGAAAATGTATGTACTTTCAGAGATACATGCTACATCTTTAAAAATACACCGGGACTCAACGATGTCAAAATCGACAAAGTGCTATCTTCTTCCGCTTCTTTCAAATGAGCTTCCTCTAAGATCTCGAGCGCATTTGACACGTCGAGAACACGCCGAGGACGCCCATGGAATGCGGCTCGGTTTTCTCCGGGGGCCCCATGGTAAACGGTCGATTCCCCTAATGGTTCCCGGCTCGAGCGGTATCCCCCATAAAGTCCTCACCCTCTCTCCAGTGCCCAGCGACCGCTGTTCCTAATCAGAAGCACCGGGTGGGCTGACCATCAACCACAATCAAACGGTACCGATTGCACACGCATGCTGGTATCCGTTTCACGGTTGCCAATCATGTTCATTTTATGCATAGTCGCGTAAGCGTAGTAGTAGTGCTTTATCTTCACGATGACACAGATAAAAACGCTTTGGCGATAAGTTATACGGCGATTAACACGATAAAGTGCGCACATGAATGGAGAGCAAGGGTAAAGGATAGAATCCAATTTTGCTCTTAATATTATACGGGATAAGAAGTCGCTCGGACGCGCGCATACATACGCGCGTATAATTAGTATTAATTAGTAATAATTATCATTAGTATTAATTAACAATAATTAGTATTAATATTAATTATCAATATACATAATGCGCGAGCGATACATATTAATGGGATTCAGTCATAATGAAATTAAACGGATTTTGCATGCAGTACGCTCGAGGTAGCCGGTGCTATTTTTATGTAAGAAGCGCTTCTCGAAACGAATCACGACAACGATGATATTATCCGAGGCTCGTCCCGTGAAATTCCAATTTTTATCGCAACGAGTGTGATAATTTTCGCGACCACTCCTTTTCAGAATTCGAGCGCGATGATGAGACAAAAGATAGAAATGAAAAATAAGAAAAAAAAGACAGCGAAAGAGAGAGAGCACGCGAACCTCTATCCTTGGCGGCGCGTAATTCATTCGCGAATATTTTTCGCGTGTCGTCGCGGTTCCCCGGCGTTGCGGATTGCGTTTCGCCGAATGTGTAGATTTAAAAGGCGATACGCCGTCGCCGGACGGGAGCTTCATTCATACGGCGTTCATTAACGAAACGTGGCTGAATCGGTTCCCACAGACGTACACGCGATACATCGCGGCGTAGAAGGAGATAGACAGACAGAGAGAAAAAGACGGATAGAGGGGGAGAAAGACGAGAGGGAGGGTTTCTGCGAGGAGGAGTTCTGCGTACTGCTCGTTATGCAAATGCAGATAGTAACATCGTATACACGTGCAGGGTACCGCCGTGGAGAGTGTTACGCGATTCCGATTTACTCCTTACGAGAGAGCCAACCAGCCCGCACGCCATCGTGTAAATACACTCAAAGTGTTCCATATGCTTCGTTCGATTCTAAAGTAAAATAGAAACCAGGGAAAATCTTTGAGGAAGTGTTTGGTAGATCAAATGGAATCTGTTTGCGTTCCCTCACTTGGAATCGCTTGTTTGAAACACTACACTTCTACCGATTCCACGTACATTTCCTAACCAGAGTCCATAATTCCTTTAGGTGATCGATTAAGATTCCAATCAAATCCCACGAAATTTTCTATACAAAAAAAAATTAATATATCCACTTAGAACTAATATATTCAAACTAACAATCATTGTTTCATTATTTAAGTAACGACATAATTTTGTTAGAAAAATTTTGAAGTCTTATAAATTATAACAACGTTATAATTTTACTTAGATATTGTAATAATTTCGCAAGAAATACAATATGATGACTTTGGTGATAATATCTTTTCTTGACATTTAAAAACATACTTTCAATTCAATATTTTGTACTCTCCATTCATGAAAATTATGTTTTAATAGTAAGAATCTTTCTTCATTGAATCATATAAAAAAAGACGCATGGGACTGTACATATTCCTGAAGAATGTCAATTCGTTCACACGAAGAACTGGGTTAAACGAAAAGTCTAAAGAAATTCACGTAGATCGGACGTCAATTCTTATGAGATAATTAACCCAACGGATTAGTCTCTGTTTAGCGAGCGGTATAACGAACGCGGAACGAAGTGCGAGACGTTGACGGCGTGGGCGACAGTACACACCGCGCTCGACGTGGAGACGTCATATCCGGGCGCGGTAGGTCGATCCAAGGTGAGGAGTGGCCGTGATCAGCCCTCTAATGAAGAAAATCCTGTCGCGCATTTTAAGGGACTCTGCTCCCTCCTTTCTCTCTCTCCCTCTCTCACTCGGACTATCTTACTCTCTGTCTCTTTCCCCCCCCCCCCT